TCACTCACTCACTCTCTCACACTCCCTCACACACACACACACACACACACAACTGTGAAGTCTCTGTTTGATCATATTTATACATCTCCCTCTTGAAATAATCGTTTGCTGGTTTTACTGTAGGCCGGATCACAGTGAGGCCTGTTTTTTAATATTTCATCGTGACTGTACTTTTTTTTTTTTTAGTAAATGTAACTTATTATCCTGCAGCTCTTCATATAAAGTTTTTCTGCATACATACACTGGAGTCACATAAAGCGATATATAGCAAATCTCACTGCTTGATTTATATCATCATGAGTGTAGCTACTGTATATTATCTTCCAGCTGTAATCTCACAAACGCCACTCTAAGGTATGAAGATATTACAGTTTTGCTTCTGCTGTTTGAGTGTCAGCTTTCAGAAACTGTGTGACAAGTAAAGATTCTGTGTGTAATACTGTTGAGTGAGTGTTAGAGAGTGTGTGTGTGTGTGTGTGTGTGTGTTTGTGTGTGTTTGTATGAAGTCTCTCTCGCTCTGCGCCGTACGGAGGTGTTTGTTTGTTTGTGTTGGCGTGTCTCAGGTGTCTGGAGTGTCGCTCGCTGCGGTGCGTCTGGCAGGAGCGTCTGGCAGGTATAAACAGGTGTGAATGTGACGGTGTGGCCTGCAGGGGGCAGAGCAGGAGAGAATCTTCCCTTCAGTCGCTCGCATTATTCCCCCTGAGCAGCAGGACATGAAGATTCTCATCAAACCTACAGGTCTTAAATCAGGCAAAAGCTAAATATCTCTGTATGTTTGGTCAAAATCAGGACAGATGCACACAGCAGTTAGATAAATAATAATAAATAGTGTAGATAGGATAGATGCTATTTACATTAAGTGCATTATTAAATGGATGCCACCTTATTGGAACAATAAGCCCTCCCTACACTTACCCTAACCCTACCCGATACTTTATTTTCAACTTTTCGATTATTTCCTTCATTTTTATTGAAAACAGCACACTTTACCCTCTACACCACTGGAGGTGTTGATTGTCAATCGTCCTTTGTAGTGTTGTCTAGCCCAATCACATGTTGGTGGGCGGAGTTGCTGTAAATAGCTTCTGCCAGCAAGGTGGGATGTTTGCACTAACTGTACATAGACACGCCGTAATAGGCAATCAAATAAACCACAAGAATGCAATGTATGGCACTTAGAGTAAATGTCTTCAAAGTGGAAATGGCTTATTAATGTAATAAATATTTTTATTTTAATAATCTCAGCATATTATATAAATTGTCTGTTTGGGAGGTTGATGCTGCATAAATTTCCCTGTGAAAGGACAAACAAAGATATTACTACTACTACTACATTACTACTACTGAGAGAGAGACGTTTTCTACAGACATTAAATTGATTGGACAAATGAGTTTCCACACCAAATCAGGCAAAAATAAACATCTGTGCATTTGGACAAATTCAGGTCAAATCTGCTAAAAGATGCACCTTGCGTCTTTAAAAAACAATGATGAAATAAAATGATGGAATTAAGGTAACACTTTATGTTAAGGTGTCCTTGTTACACGTTACATGTCCTAAATAATCCTGTGGTTTTTCTGTGGTACAGAAAAAAAAACACAATTTCTACATGCAAAAGTTAGTTCAGACAATAATAATAAAAAAAAATTAAAAAAAAAATTCTATATTGGTACTCAATTTGAGCTTGTAGAAGTTAAAGCGTAAATATAAATGTTATAAAATGAAGTAAAACCTACTCGACTTTTCTGATACTGGTGTTTCCATCATGCACTGGGGCATGAATAATTAACAAGGTTGATTTTCCAGCTGTATTTACACTGTTTTATCATTGCTTTTGTTGTTAGGTTTAGTAACTTTAAAAGATTTGACTTAATTCTATAAGTGAACCTATGTATAATTGTGTAATATTTACTTAATCTAAAGTCCTCTGAGTCCTCTGCACAATCTGACTTTGCTGCAGCCTAGAATTAAACTGCTGGCTTCGTCTGGCCAGAGGAGAACGACACACTAATTCCCTGTTTGGTTACATTTTATTATTATAGTCCACTTTCGACATTCTTTAGTCAGAGATTCTGACTGATGCATAATTGGTTCTGCGTTAATAAAAATGTAAAACATTAATGGCATTTGTTCTTCTTTTGTAATTGGCTTTGGATGAAAAAGTGTCCGCTGAGCGCATGAACAAAAGCTTAAAGCATTCACTGAAGGTCTGCTCAAAGCGAGCGATGGTGTCGGTTCATGGGCTGGTCTCATCGGAGAAAACCCGTCTCAGGTCTGACACCGGATCAGCGAGAGGATGATGAGGAGGCGGTCAGAAATCAGCTTGAGCCAATTACAGCGGGATGAGTGACGAGCTGCTGTAATCTCTAATTACTTCAATCAATTTAAGAGCAGCGCCACTCATCTGAGGAGCTATTAGGAGCAGCGCGAGTGTGTGAGGCGCTAAAGTGGGTTATTCGCCGCCCGTGTGTGTGTGTGTGTGTAGGCCGTGATATGTAGGTTGGAGGATCCAGAGTTTGTGGGGTACAACAGAGACCAGAGGCGAGAGTTCGGCCCATTTGGGTCGGCCCAGTTTCTTAAAGTGGGACTGTGCTCCACTACCTGAGCTCTCCTCTGAGAGAGAGTGTGTGTGTGTGTGTGTGTGTGTGTGTGTGTGAGGCCAAACGCTAATGACGTGCAGGACACAAGCTCGTACTCGGAGCAAAACGTTTCTGCTCACAACACATGAAGTGCAACCGTTTCACTGCAGCGGTGGATTATTTTTGAGGCATTTAAAAGCATGAAATGATCTGCTCACATCACAGACGCATTTAAGAAGTAAAGATTGCTGTCAGTACTACTGAAGCCAACAGATGATTTTAATGAATATATTAGAAATTATACTTGCTAAAAGTTTGGAATAACTATGTTCCTGAAAGAAGTCTCTTCTGCTCACCAAGGCTGCATTTATTTGATCAAAAATAGTGTAAAATATTGTGAAATATTTGTAAAAATTAAAACAGCTGTTTTCTATGTGAATATCTGTTCAACTGTATTGTATTTCTGTGATCAAAGCTGTATTTTCAGCATCATTACTCCAGTCTTCAGTGTCACATGATCTTCAGAAATCATTCTAATATGCTGATTTGCTGCTCAAGAAACATTTCTGATTATTATCAATGTTGAACACAGCATTTCAATTATTTTAACATCATCGCTACTCTGCATATTTTCTCTTATTTGCTTTCTGTCCTAGTTTATGCACATTGTTTTGCACAGTTAACCTGAATGCAGCTGTGAAAATCTAGACTTAGAAAAGGGGTCAAAAAAATTATTACACGTTTTCTGAAATGCTCAAATATACATACAGTATGTGGCATTATCTGATTAAATATGCAGTAATTTGCATACACTGGATGAACAAAGCCAGATTAAAAATTCATGTTTGATATTTTTCCAGAGGGGGTTTTGAATTTCTATTTTTATCACTCCAGAAATCAGAAAATACTGACACTGAAATACTGGAATAAAATGTTGTAAAAATACAGGCAAATGATATATGAACAAACCCCTCAGTAAAAGCCTTCAGAGTATAGAGAGGAATAAAACGGAAAAGTTTATTGTATTCCTCTAGTCTGATACAACACATCTCGACCAAATGATTTATTGATGATATCATTTTTACCTTGTACAAAACCCTGAAGAGGGACAGACACAGACACACACACACCAGCTCTGTCATGAATGAATCCTGCAGTGTGTGCTGAATGAAACCAGAACAACTACAACACAAACACACACAGAGCTGTGGATCTAGAGAAGCCTCTAGAACAGAACAGGAGCGTGTGTGTGTGTGGGTGGGGGGGATAAATCTCACTCTCCTTTACACACTCAATGACAACCACACACACACACACACACTCACCGAACAGTGCACACGTCCTCCGGCGTCCCTTTCACATTCACCTCTGCTGAACGGGCTTCACTCTGCAT